ATGCATCTGTGGTGTGGAATTCTCTGGAACTGGAGTTACAGACAGTTGTTAGCCTCCATGTGGGTGCTGGGACTCAAACCTAAATCTTCTGTAAGAACAGCTTGTGCTTTTTACTGCTGAGCCATCTCTCCAGCCCCAAGAATCAAAGTTCTTTTCTGGTCTGGGGTAGGCAAAAATGGTCGCATTGAGGATTCACCCATAAAAGTTTTCTTTGTGCTCAATGTGGTGGTGCACACCTTCAATCTCCAGCACTTAGGAGGCAGAGGCAGGCAGATCTCTGTGAGGTTGAGGCCAGCCTGGTCTACGTAGTGAGTTCCAGGACAGCTGGGGCTACAGGGAGACCCTGTCTCAAAAAGACCAAAAAAATCCTCTTTGAAGGTATGCATGATATGATATATGTCTCTATGGGCGTTTTCATATTGTTATACTATGGGTTCCAACCAGCATACATTCACTACCATTTTAGGGATAGCTCCACTTGCAACACTGGCTAAGCCATAATAAACACTAGTAAACTACATAAGCTGGAAAACTGTCTCGAAAAATTAGATGTGGGGATAACCAGCTGCAGGGAGATACAGCCAAAGCCCTTTATCACATGGACTAGGCAGGAGTACAGTGACCCTTAGGTGTTCAGTAGGTATAGAACAGGTTTCTGGGAGATTTATCAGGAAGCCTGATCAGGATATCTTGTCAGTGGAATCAGTGTGCATGGGGCCAGCCCGTGGACCAACTGAGGAAAACAGGAAGAGACTTTCTGCCTTCTGGCTTGGTTGTACAGTAGCCGGATTAAGCAGCAGTGTGCCTGGATGCATCATCCATGCTGACCCAAGAGTACCTATCACTGTGAGGCATACTGATTCCTTGAAGTTTTAACCCAGCAATGGAAAAAAGATGTAACTAAATCCCTTTTCTCTAGTCAGTCTTTTGGATGAATTTGGACTTTCGGTCTCTGGTTTGTGAATGTGTATTTTTTAAAATTTTATTTATTATTTTTTGAAGAGATGGCTCACGGACTCCGGTTCAGTTCCCAGCACCAATATGGCTTCTTCCATGCTGAACAGGGATGCAGCGTGAGGCAATTGGAGTACCCCTTCAGTGGGTCTATCTAAAAGGTCCCCAAATTGCATAACTCTTATCTCTAAGGGGAAAAGAAAGTCCTTGAATGGTGAATAGGAGATGTGAAGGAGAAGTAAAGGCAAGAGTAATCAGCATTACAAGTTCTAGACAGGGACCTAGAAAAAAGTCAGAACAGGGCAATTTTCAAATGTTCATATGAGAGTCCATTGGAATTTCTTGACAAGGGCTTCCAAAAGCATCCTTCTATTGGGTTCCTCCTCATTTTTCTTTTGTCTTTCAAGACTGGACTCTAGAGTGATGGATTTGCTTTCAGGTATTTTGGTAGCTGGTGGAGTGGTTAGAATCAGTGTCAGTTCCCTCTCAAAGGCTTCTAGATAGGGGGAGAAAACAAATTTATCCATCATTTTAGAATAGCTGGTTGTCTCCATTAGCTACAGGTGGCACTACAGTATTAGAGACCAAGATTTGAAGTCTTACATCTGAGCAGCACTTTCTGGTTAGGAACAAAACCATCAATGAGAAATAATTGTCTAAATAACTTTTTATATAGACTTAAGCCTAATGTCTGGGACGTGTAATCCCTTGAACTCTTAAAGAAATATACTGATGACTTTACTCTTTCGTTATACTTTCCTTTGGGTATTTAAGAGCATACAGTTGGCCCAAATAAATCAATTTATTTTTGTACTTAAGGTCATTTGAGGATCTGTTCCTCAGGGGTCACATGGGCTTGGGAGGAGCCCCTGGCTCCTTTCTTTTACCAGTTCCATCTATGTGAAGATAAGTCAAAGGTTCTGCTCAACCATGTCTGGCTTCACTTGGAAGCATGAATGAGATGTTTCCTTTGAGTTGACCCTCTCTTTTGCAGACTGGACACTGGTTCAAGTCCATCTCGTGGGGTTTCCATGGCCTCCCTGAACAAGAGGACAGATGACTCACCACAGTTACAGGACATTTTGAAAGATGTTCCATAGTCCCCTGGAACTTAGTTGACCTTGGAGGGCAAGGGTCAAAAACTGTCCTTTAAGTGCCTCTGACCACATTAGCATAGGCCTCAAAGTATGGCTGTTAAACATCTGAGAAGGTTAGTTCCACCAGTCTGGTACTTTTAATTATCATGTGCTATGTAGATAAGGCCTGGGTAAAAAACCAAATATCCTCAGATAAACCTCAACTAGATATATATTTTGTTCCTTAAACTGGTTGACTAAACTATGACCATAGAAATTTTAAGTCTCTTTTGTCTTTTTGAGACAGGGTCTCCCTATAGCCCCAGTTGGCCTGGAATTCACAATGTAGACCAGACTGGCCTTAAACTCACAGAGATCCACCTGCCTCTACCTACAGAGTGCTGGGATTAAAGGCATGCACCACCATGCCCGGCTGTCTTTCCTTCTATTTATTTTTTATTATTTGTGGTGCTGGGGATCAGACTCAGAATGTTCTATATGCTGGGCAAGTGCTCCACCACTGAACCAATAATGCCAACAGCATCAGCCACCTTTTAGTGTTTAAGTGCAACTATTCATCCTAGACATTCATTATAGTTCAAGATGCAAAAAGTAGTTTGATAATGATGATAATCTGGTATTTCTTTAGGTCAGTTTTTAAAAATATTTTTGTCTGCCCACCCCATTCCTTGGCAGGCTATTTTTATCCCTTCTGGTTAAAAAAAACAACACGCTGACTCAGTTGATTTTTCTAAATTACTGGAGGCAACATATTTCTATTTCTGGCTTGTGTCTGCACTGCCCTGTGATGCTGTCTATGGTCACATGTAAAGTCAGCCCCTTCAGGTAGACCTGCACGAAAAATGACATGAAAGTAGGAGGGGAACTACTTAGAAAGAAGATGGGAGGTCTATTGTGGTTTTAGGGGGCAAAGAGAGGGTAACGAGGTGAATAGGTTCACAGCACAGTGCAAACATGTATGAAATTGTTACCAGGTAAACCAAATAATCAAATATACTATATTTAAGTATGATTAATAAGTTAAATAGTATAAAGTTAAGATGATAATTTGATATACTTATTCAAGGATTTTACCAAAGAAAATCCTAGCACCTACAAATACTGTTCAGCTGGTGGCCCATAAGCACTGGGACAATTTGGTTTCTGCGATTCAAAAAGAATATTTTGAATTTACTTGGTTTAGAATAGCTGTTAGCTTTCTCTGTCTGGTCAGGGAGACACCCAATCAAATGACAAATCTTTCTAATAAACCTTTAAACTGTTTGGGGGCAGGTTATGTTTGATACAACCAAGCACTTCAGTGAAGGAGCTATAAGGAAGAGGAATCAGGAAAGGCTAAAGTTGCAAGAGTTGGAGGAAGAAAGGAAAAAAGAAAAGAAAAGAGAAGAGGAAGTTGCTGAAAGGTGAGTAGACTTTCAAACAACAAAGATATTTTTGTTTTGTTTTGTTTTATGAATTTGTTTGGGTGAATAGCTAGATTTGATAGATAATATGGAAGTACAGGGGCAGGTGGAAGACTCCATCAAAGGCTATAGTTTTACAAAATCCAAATGACAAAATCGTTGAAAACAAGAAACTGAGAGAACATGTCTATAAATGTGAATAAGTAATAAAGAATAATGGGAGTAGCCAGATTAAGATGTCTGGGGTTGAGCTGGGTGTGGTGGTGCATGCCTTTAATCCCAGCACTCAAGACAGAGGCAGGAAGATCTCTGTGAGACTGAGGCCAGTCTGGTCTTCATAGGGAGTTCCAGGCTGACTGGGGCTACAGGGAAACCCTGTCTCAAAGAAGACCCCCCAAACATGTTTACCAGGGTAGTACATGCTTTTAATCCCAGCACTTGGGGCAGAGGCAGGTGAAATGAGGCCACCCTGATCTACATAGAAAGTTCCAGGCCAGCTGTGGGGCTACAGGGAGACCCTATCTCAAAAAATACAAACAACAACAACAAAAAACATGTCCAGGAGGAAAACTATTTTAAAAGAAAATGAGAAACGTTTGTTTCTACAGTACTGGGGTTTGAACCCAGGGCCTTGTGTAAGGTAGACAAATATTCCACTTATGGGCTACAGCTCTGTCAGAATCAGAAAATTTATAGTGAAAATTCTAACCTACCAAATTAGAAATTTTACCAGTATTATCTCCCCAACCAGTTAAAAAAAAAAACAGTTCTGGAAGGTGGAGAGATGGCTCAGTGGCTAAGAACACTGGCTGTTCTTAAAGAGGACCTAGGCTTGGTTCCCAACACCCACACGGCAGCTAACAACCATCCATAGCTCCAGTTCCAGGGATCCAGTGACCTCCTTGGGCATTGTGTGTGACACAGGTGCACATACATACTTCCAGGCAATACACTGATTCACATAAAATAAAAATAATAAGCAAAATATGAAAAAAATAAAATTTAAAAAAGCAGTCCTGGAAAACATTTTCTTCTATAAAATGATCAATAATCACAGTAACCCATAGTCATGAATTTGTTAGAACCATTTTTTTCATTGACCAGAATTCTTACTGAGAATTCCAGGAACTTCCATGTTTATTTCTTTGAGCTCACCACGATTTACTAATCTTGCAGCTTGAACCTAGCTACAATATTTGCCTAGTTAGAACATTGCCAAACACTTGCCATGAAGGCTCACATGTCAGCACTTTAGGGCCCTGACAACCAATTTTACCTCCTGGACCCTCTTCTTGTATTTATGTAAGCCATAAAATTTTTAAAGGGAGATTAGGAACAGCCTTCCACATGCCCATTATTGCTTTGGCTGGTCACATCTAGGAAATCTGGCCAGAATAAAGATGCTATTCTGTATTAAATTCCAGAGTGAATAGCCTATTTAGATAATCCTCCGTCCTTTGGCTAAGTCCTGATTCAGGTTATTGCCCCTTTTTTCCTCTTCCCACATTTCCATAAGGGCCTATCTGAAATAATTTTAATTTTCAGAAAATAGAAAACCCTCTGTATTCTTTTCCCAGTATGTTTTTATGTTAGTGTTCTGTATTAAGTAACATCTGCCAATGATGAGTTTTCATCTTGAATACTTTTTAAAAAATTATTTTTGTTATTTTTATTTTATGTGTATGAGTGTATTGCCTGCATGTTGGTAGGTGCCCCTGTGTCATACAATGCCTGCAGAGGTCAGAAGAGGGCGTCAGATCCCCTGGAACTGGAGTTACAGAGATGTGGGTGCTGGGAATTGAACCAAGCTTCTCTGCAAGAGCAGCCAGTGCCCTTAACCGCTGAGCCATATCTCCAGCCCCTTCACCTTGAATGCTTTATTAGTGCTTTCACTCATCTTTGTCTCAGTGAAATTAACCCACAGTTGATTTCGATCACAAGAAAAGAGAAATAACCTTGAAATCTGGGTCTGCATTCCCTTCTTGTGGTTTGAAAATGTGAAAGCTAGGTGTCCCTGCTTTGAATTTTATTCCTAACTCCCTCCCTAACTCACTCCCTCCCTCTCTCTCCCTTTCTCTTCCTCTCCCTCCCTCCCTCTCCCTTTTCCCTTCTCCCTTCTCACTCCCTCCTGCCCTCTCCCTCTCCCTTTTCTTTTTCCTCCCTCTCTTTACCTTTCTTAAAATTTGCATACAAATAATACGTTGCATTATGGCCTTTTCATATGTGTCTATCATTTTACCTTGCTTACATTCACCCCATTTTCTTGTCCTACTCTTGCCTCCCATTGGTTTCCTTCTTCCCTCCAAATAGTCCCATTTCTGCTTTCTATAGGCATATAGGTGTACATACATATAACACACATACATGTTTATATACACATGTATACACATATATTACATATATGTAATCTAGATTAGGTTTATGAGAGGAACTGATATTTTTCTTTCCCATATTACCCTTCTTGCTTCCCTCATTTCTCTTCTCCCTGCAAATAGTCTTGCTTCTGTTTTCATGTTTGAAAATCTACATTCCTGATATGAATGAAAGCGTGTGGTATTTCACTTTCTGAGTCTGGTTTATTTCACTCAATATAGTGATGCTGTGATCTGTTCATTTTTCTGCAAATGACATAACTTCTTTATTCTTTATGGCTGAATAAAGCTCCATTACTTATGTATACCATATTTTCTTTGTCTATTCATCTGGTGATATATGTCTAGGTTTGTTCTTAACTACATGCAGCAATAAATATGGACGAGCAGATACTTCTTTGGTTGTTTTGAATTCTTCAGCTATATATGCAGGAGTAGTACAGCCATAACATATGGTAGCTCTATTTTTAGTTTTTAAATTTTTATTTATTATTTTATGTGTATGAATGTATTGCCTGCATGTATGTGAGTGCACCCGTGTTGTGCAGTGCCGCGGAGGTCAGAAGAGGGCTTCGGATTCCCCTGGTACTGGATGGAGTTAAGGACGGTTCGTAGCCACCATGTGGGTGCTGGGAATCGAACCCGGGTCCTCTGCAAGAGCAGTCAGTGCTCTTAACCTTTGAGTCATCTCTCCAGCCCCTATTTTTAGTTTTTAAAGGAGCATCCATACAGATTTCCATAGTGGCTGTACTAATTTACATAATCACCAACAGTGTATAAGGTACCTTTGGCCATTGTATCCTCTGTAGCATTTGTTGTTAATTGCTATGCTAGTAATTTTTTTCTTTGAGACAGGGTCTCCCTGTAGCCCCAGCTGGCTTGGAATTTACTCTGTAGACCAGGCTGGGCTTGAACTAAAAAAAATCACCTGTGTCTGCTTCCTGAGTGCTGGGGTTAAAGGCAAGCGCTACCACACCCTGCTCTATGCTACTGATTCTGACAGAAGTGAAATGAAATCTTTTTTTCAATATATTTTTCATTGAATTTTTGTGCACTTCATACAATACATCTTAATCATATGTAGACATCCCTCCCCTATCTGCACTTCTCCATGGCCCTCCCACCAGATTTCATGAATTCAGTTATATATATAAAAGCCTGTCAAGTTTGTGTCTCCAAATGTCCCTTGGCATGAGTTCATCCACTGGAGCCTGTTCAGCCTATCTGGCTCACGTCTTTTAAGAAGACCAGCTGTCCCTCACCCAGTAGTGATCACTTGCCAGTAGTTCGTTGGCTAAGGTTGGAGCTTCTTGCCCCATGAAATGGAACCTTATTGTCATTTTGGCTTGCATTTCTCTGATGGCTATAGATTTTGGACGTAATTTAAAATATTTATTTTCCACTTGTACTTCTTTTTAGAATTGTCTGTCAATTTAGTTGTCCATTTATTGATTAGATGATTTGATTTTTGCATTTAATTGTTAAAGTTCTTTATGGATTTTACATACTAACCCCTTATCAGATCTATAGCTGGAAAAGATTTTCCTCTAATCTATAGGCTCTCTTCCCTCTGGGGATTCTTTTCTTTGCAGAAGATTGAAAATTTCATATTACCCTACTTACCAATTCTTGCAATTAGTCTCCCAAGTTATTAGAATCCTTTTCATTTTTTATGTATATGTGTACATGTCTGTGTGTATGTGTGGCTGTATGAGCATGCATGCATATATTTATGCTCATGCATGTGGAGGCTGAAGGACAACCTCAGTTGTCATCCTCAGAAACGCCATTCACCGCCTTTGAGACAGGGCCTCTTATTGGCCTTGAGCTCATCAATTAGGCTAGACAGTCTGGCCAGGGGAGTCCCAGAAATCTTCCTGTCTCTACCTTCCCACTGCTGAGATTAAATGTGTGTGCCAGCATGCCTGATAGTTTTACAAGCTGAGCCATCCTTCTAGCACTAGAATAGTTTTCAGAAAGTCCTTCCTTACACCTGCATTTTGAAACATTTTCCTTCTGATGTATTCTAGTAGTTTCACAGTTTTAGGTCTTATATTAAGGTCTTTCATCTGCTTTGAATTGATTTTTGTACAGAGAGAGATAGGGATCTAATTTCATTATTCTACACATGGATATCTAATTTTCCTAGCACTATTTGTTGATGAGACTGTCTTTTCACGTTTTCATATGAATTTGTTTTTTTTTTCTGTTTCAGTGAAGAATGGTATTAGAATTTAATGAGAATTACAGTGGATGTCTAGATTGCTTTTGGTAGTATAGCCATTTTTACAGTATTACTTTTGCTCATCCATAGGCAAGCGAGGTCTCTTGATCTTTTAATGTCTTCAGTTAATTTTTTTAGTTTTTTAACAATTTCATTTTGGAGGTTTTTCACTTCCTTAGATTTTTTCCTGGGTTATTTTTATGGTATTGTAATGGAATTATTTTTCTGATTACTTTCTCCAAACATTTGATATTGGTATATAGAAAAGCTACTGAGTTTTGTATGTGAGTTTTGTATCCTACTTTTCTGAAAGTATTTATCGGATCTGAAACTTTTCTTTAACGTCTTTTAGTACATGATCATAGTGTATGCATACAGATATATTTTGAGTTCTTCCTTTCCTA